GGGGGGGGGGGAGTTCTGAAAAAAAAAATGGAGCTGCCCATCAGGTGCCCTAATAAAATCAGAGACCACCCCAAGTTACGATTTTCAAATCTTACAGCAGGCTCTCATCTCTCATGGCGGGGCTCCCCCGTAACTCATACCACGACTTGTGCCCCCATCCAGGCCGGCGGGGGCGCTGGGGAGCCACAGAGGGGCAGGCTGCTGCTGGGGGCGGCCTGGGAGATGCGGGTCACCACAACACCACGGCAGGGCTGCTCCCAGGCGCCTCAGCAGCTGGTCCGGCGGGAAGCCTTGAGTGCTGGCTAGAGCCTTCACTCCCTCACCGGGGCTCGGCGGCAGCCCCTCCGCTCCGGCCCAGCGCTGGCCTGGGCCCGGGGGCGGGGCGGGCCGCGCGGCTCCTTAGAACCGGCGTCCAGTTGCCATGACAACGGGTCGCGTCACGCCAGATGCAGGGGTGCATGCGCACTGGGCAGCGACGCGGCCCTTCGCGCCTGTGTGCTGAAAAGCCCAGTGAGACTGGAGTGGGGGGCTCGGCCGGGCCGGGCCGGGCGGCACGTGGGCAAAGCTGGCCGGAGGTGGGGGGTCACCCGAGGCAGGCAGCCCCCCGAGCCGCCAACGGACAGGGCGGAGATTCATTCTCCTGCCAGACTAGGGAAAGGAGACGGCCATGAAGTGAGCTGGAGCTCGTGCGTGCTCTCTCCTCTAGTCTGTGCGGTGCGGTGCGGTGCGGTGCGGTGCGGTGCAGCCCAGCCCCGCTCCGCCCGGATTTAACACACCCAGGGCCACGGAGACTGTAGCCTTCGGTGGCAGCAGTGTCTGTAGCAGCATCCAACTTAAAAAGTCTTCCAAGTAACAGATCCCAACTCCAGTCATTTCCACCGGACTCAGAACAAATGTGGCATAACTGGTTTTGGTGCAGATAACTGCCCGACCAGGCTGGCTCCAGAGAAAGCCTGCAAGTCCTGACATAGGATGGCTAATTTTGGACTTTGATGTCCTACTGGAATGAAAGCCAACAAACACACTGCCCGATGGAGCTTGGAGGGTTGGTTCCTTCCTAGACTACAGTAACGAAAGGCGTATTGTGCAGCTTCAGCAAGTTCTGCTTAGGCCAGCACTGTGCAAAAAGCAGTGATTTCCCTGCCAGATGTGTGATCCTATCAAAATGGATGGGATTTGAATGAGCTCAGTCTACTTGCGTGTTTTGTATGACTGATTTCTTACTTATCCTGCCAATGTATGGCCTCTGCAAGCTTTATATAACTTTTTGAGATCACTGAGACAACATTCCCAAGAGATGCAAGTTTCACTGTCCAGTTTCTCTATTCTATCAAAGGCACTGTACAAGCAGCAGACTTCTAAATGTATACAGTTACGCTCTTAAATATGATCATAAGGAGGATTCCAGACAGACAGTCTCCTATATAACTTGTAAATAGGAAATTGGATGTTCTAGGTCAGGGGTTGTCACTGGCACTTGTGGTTTCGCAGCCGCACAGGGGACCCCCCCACTCGTCCATCGACTACTGGGAGTACAACGACCAAAAAGGTTGAAAACCCCTGTTCTAGGTTAAGTAGTAAGTCATAATTCAGTAGTATTTGCATACTGGTGGGGCTATTTATAATAGTACATCTGGCCATTGTTGCAAAGAGTAGCTAACAGATACAAATAAATAAGATGATAGAAAAAAAGACGTTACTTTATTTTTAAATATGCAACTATGACACTTATATACATGTTCTTAACATTATACATTTCTCCTAGTTTTCTAACAAAGTGCTGAAGATAAAAGTATGTTCTGGTATTAGATCCATGTGATAGCTATGATGCAATATAGATGGTACCAACTGGTATAATATTTACTTCAAATAAAAGGCAATACAATCTCTCCAGAAAGATTTACACACTGCAGGCCAATGAAGCTTATGTAGTGTAGATATATCTTGATAGAAAGTTCTATAGTATACAACTTTTTCCAGGATACATTTTTAAAAAATTGCTTGCTTTTTAGAGACTTCTGATTGCAAACATGAAGGTACTGCAAAATCCTACTATATCCAATGTCAAATTGTTCAACTTTTATTTGAAAATTTGGAAGTCAACTCAAATATTTTACTTTATTGAAAAATAACTGCAAGTCATTCTGGCCACACTATACCTGTTAAAACCCAATGTGAGATATGGTTAAAACTACATCGTACCATCTTGAAATTTCAGAAATCAGTAGATACAGCATAGCATTTTAGAGTTCATCATTGTATTTCAGATTCTGTATGGCAGCTTGAAATGCCACACTAAGCAAACACTATATATTTGAATTGGGGCCTGATTCAACAGCCTGAAAGCATGTCAAAATTTGGTCATGCATATTTTTTAAACAATAGCAAAAAATATGATGAACCTATCATTTCCTATCAGTGAGTTTTTTTTAGGACCTGATACTTTTACAGCAAGTCATGCTTTTTTGATGCCCATTTTCTATCTCTGTACTGTAAACCCTGAATCTTCAAATCCTTTCCTATATGGAGTGCCAATGAATTCAAGCAAAATATAAGCCTGAGAACTTTTTGGAAATAAGTACCTGCTGCACATAACTTTACTCAATGCAAGGGTGTTGAAATCCAGTAAGCAGTATGTACAGAATGTTCCTGCTGTCTTCTGTGTAATGGAAGCATTTTACAAATCTATTTTTAAGCATAAACTTGTTTGAATTGTATAGCAAAAGTAAATAGCCAGTAATTTTAAAACAGTAACTATGCTACACACTTATGGCTTCTGAAAATTTTAGTATATATTTCCTATTAGCTCTCCTTGTGCAATATTCTAAAATAATACTGGTATGTATTTTTAAGTATAAAAAAACTCTTTCAAGTCCAATCAAATCTTAGCAAATGTAACAAAAAACAAATTAAACACACATCAAAAGTAATTACGTAAAAGACTGGTAAGGCTCTTAATGAAGCTGGAGTAGAGTTTACTCAGTAATTCCTCTTTTTAACAAGCAGGTTGCCTAACAAAGGTTATCATCAACTGTAAAGATTTTACTGTATTCCACAGCATTACCTAAAAGTTAATAATAGGTACATTCAGATTTTATGTACCTAATAATAGTTGCATGTAAAACTTACAGAATCCGTTGGGAACAGAAGTATACTGCATTTTATTTGGTCCACACATGCTAATTTTGGCATACCTGTTTTCATGTCAATATCTTTATTACTAGGTTTTAGCTCAAAACTTAGAATAGCTTATACAGGAAAATATCTTTATACAAATAATTATGATACATACATTTGTTTAAAAAAATAAACCATGCAGCTTTTGTACAAGGTAAAAAATGTCTATAAAACTTTCACATTTTTCATGCAAAACTCATGTGTGAAAGTCTATTTTGATGAAAATACAGTTATTTTTGAGTAATCCTAAACCACCATCCATATCTGTCAGTCATTTCTTTCACTAGGCAGTAACTGGCTGCTTAATTTCATCAGCAGTTTTACGACCAGACCAGCCTGCATAAAGAAAAAAATAAAATTCTATTACAATTTTCCAAACAACATAAAAACCACAATGAATTTAAATAAACTTGTTTGTATTATACTTATCCCTGTTACTAACACCACTTGGGGATTAAAATAAAAATTCATAGAACTACAAACCAAAAATGGGGCCGGAAGGTCTCTTCAGAGGTTATTTAAATCAACCTCTGTTCAAGCCATGATCAACCCTGTATGAGCCACCTCAGACAACCTGCACTGAAAGCTTTCAGTGACAAACTCCAAAGCCTCCCTAGGTAAACTGTTACAGTTTTTAAAGAACCTCATAGTTAGGAAATTCTTACTAGTATCTAGCTTGCTTTTCTGTTAAAACTTTTATAACAATCCTTTTTGTATTTGGAGGCATCTAATCCCTACTGATCTCTTTTCTACTATATATAAACTATATCATCTTTTATACAGATTATATAATCCTAGTTCTTCCAACCTTTTCTCACGTGTTATATTTTCTAGACTTCTAGTAATGTTTCCTTATCTTCTCTGAACATGCCAATTGACCTACATCTCTCTTGAACTGTGGTACCCAAAATCGGGCATGGTATTTCAGGTCAACCCTCATCAGTGCCAAATATAATAGTAGAATTCTTTTACATGACTTGCATATGTCACACCTGTTAATACAACCCAGTATGCCATTAACTTCTTTTACATCACTCCTGCACTGTCCATTCATATTCAGTTTGTGAATATCACCTTCAGATTCTTTTTTACAGTCTGCAACCTCACCCTATTTTATATCTGTGTATTTGATTCTTTCTTTCAAAGAGTAGTACTTTTCATTTGTCCTTACTGAATTTCATCCTCTTTCAGACCTTTTTTCTAATTATGTCTGCTATTCTACCCAGCAGAATGGAATGCATAGGTTTACTTCATATGTTTTCAGTTCCATCCTGCAAGTCAGTAATGAAAATACTGAACAGTACTAGAATCAGGACAGACCTCTGAAGAACCCCACTTAATACCTCATCCCAGTCTGAACTTGAGCTATTGATTTTGAGCATGGGTTTTCAGAAGCATTGGGTACTGGTTGCAGCCAAGGCTGGGGATTTTCACTGGGGTGTGCCAATGCTTCTGCTGGCGCTTAAAACCAGAGGTTCTTGGCTAGGGGGTCTTGCCCCCCTGCTGAAGGTCAGAATGATTGCTTTATCTGTGGTCATGAAGGAATTTTACCCCATGGTCAGAGTGGTACAGACTGTGGAGGTTTTTGTCTTCCTCTGTAGTGGGAAGCGTGGCCTCCTTCCTGGGATTTCTTCATCCTATTTTAAGTACCTTTGCAGCAGCAAGATGTTGGCTGCCATGGTCCCCCTGCTTTACCAGGGTCCTGTATCTTATGTTGTGTCTGGTTTTGCTAGGAGCTTAGACAATGGATTTGTATAGGATGGCTTGTATAAGAATGATCCTGCCTCAGGCAGGGAGTTGGACTAGATTAAGAGTTTCTCAACCCATGGTTCACAACCCAAAAGTCGGTTGCAAGAATATATGAAAGGGTCATGAACAAACTTTAAAAATGGATTCTCCTTTAATGGAGAAAAATATGAGAAATGGTGGGTTTATCCCCCATGCCCCACACCCCTCTCCCTGCCCCACTCACTGGGGCCTGGTTGTAGGGGGCAGTGGGTCAGGAGTGAGGGGCACCAACAGGGCCAGAGGCCTGTTTTCTACTTAAACTATTTACTGTGTCGGGACTGGCCATTGATGTTTACACATGGGTCCTGTTAGAAAGGAAGCTGAGAACCACTGGACTAAATGACCTATGGAGGTCTCTTCCAGTTCTACTTCTTTATGATTCTATGGTTATCCACTACTTATGTAATGATTCTGTCTGGACCAAAAGGTTACTATGAGAACTGGAATTTCTCAGTTCATTTTTTTAAATGACATTAAAACTACAGAAATGTGTTGTTTTAAAAACAAAGTTTGTTCTCTGTTTAATAATTAAAACTAGGGTTGGCAAGCTGGTCTATTGGCCGGTCAAATATTGTCAACTGACTGGTCGACTACATTTTTTTGGACCAATTAAGAATTACAGCAATTTTACAAAAAACCTTTTTTTTTTGTAGTTTCCTTGACAGAAATATGATTTTTTATTGTTTTTTGACACATTTCTTAATGGAAAACGTGCTTTTTCTGCGTATTATTTGGACCTATCAGTAATCTTTTACGATTTTTGACCAATATTTGATTGGTCAATTGACCAAACTTTATTTGACCAGTCAAATACCCAACCCTAATTAAAACAATATTTCTATTGCTCTGGTATTTTGTAATAAGTTATGTTTCCATATTGTGTGACTATGAAATTAGTCTTAATTAATTCACCTTCTGAAATTAAAACAATATGAGGTTTCTCATGATTAGTACCATTGGTCCACTCTCCACGGTAGTTGAAATGATACTTTAATACAGATGTATCATTTTAGGCAATGAGGTCAATAGACTAAGAACCATAATGACATCTAGCCCCTCAAACCACTTAGATATCTCAACCCATACCTATTTTCAAACACAACCTCTTTCTACACAACCTCACTACACAACCTATTTCTCCTCCCCATAACTCTGGGAAATTGAAACGGCAATGCAAGCTCACTTGTAATTGTTGTAGTTACAGTTGCCAAACCATGCAAGACACACAAAGTTGTAATTTCTTCACAAAATAATATCACATACCTCATTTACTCAAACATAAGATGCCCCTGAATGTAAGTGAGCTCCCAATAATTAGAGTCTATATATTAAAAAGGTATAAATTTGTTATATTTTTCCATACAGAATCTAACTACTGGACATTTGCTTTGAACATGTCCCCCTCCCACTGCATAAAAAAATACATCTGAAATCAATCATGCTGTTTTCAGGCTTGACTTACATTTTCTGAATGCTTATTGGTTACAATATTGTGTAAATCCTTCAGTAAGGAAAAAACAGTGTTTCCCTGAAATATTATAGAGACCTAAGAAAAGTCATGGCACTAGTTTGAAATGGTGAGTCTCTTTCAAAGGAGAAAGGATATAAGAGAGTAGATCTAGCTGGGAAATAAGCATAAATGTGGATAAAAGAGGGCAAATGACCAACTAGATGCAAATAAGAAAACTGTACATACAGTGTATTATTCAGCTAACAAACAGAATTCTATAGAGAAACTACCTCATTAGGCTTCTTAATCTACATATTTCTCAAAATAGGACAATCAAAACAAACATCAATTTGAAGCAATGAATATTCCACACAGCATATTTTCTCCCCCTTAGAATTCTAGTCAAATATGTTTTATTTTTACTGTACACAATATGCATTGGACATTTCTTATAACACACTTCCAATACTTAACTAAATTTTGTCATTCCTTACCTGTTTTGTATGCACTATAAAGCTCATTTTGTTTTCCAGACTGTGGATTTGAAAACAGGTATCTCCATCTCCTAACTGCCACATAAAGCAACCATATTTTAGACTGATGAGTAAAGCCTACATTGAAAAGTAGAAAATTGTAAGAATTTAAAATATTTTCTGAGTTATAATCTGAATTTTCCCCAGTTCATTTAAATGAGATTCTGACACTTAGGATACAGGATATGCAGTAGGAACTTTTAAAATGGTCAACTGATAAACTAGATGTATTGATTGTAAATATGTCCAAGATTTTAAATCAATGCTTTGATATGAGATGATCACCAGTATACAGAAGTTAAGAGGATGGATAACGTTTACTAGGTAAACTACCTGTAAAAATGTCTAAACGCACCTTAGTTTCCATATTAAGGAGATGCAAGCCTTTTATGTTTACTCCTACATACACTCTGATGACTTTATGACTGCTTGAACTTGCTTTGGTGAACACTTGTCCTGTGAAAAAAGCTGCTCCATAGGTAGGAATTTCCCAGCAGTTCTGTAAGAACATGCGCTGTAGGTGATGCATCTCTTTACTTACACCTTCACTGGTACTGAGACTCTAGAAGTATAGCAGCAAAGAGTGAAAGACATTGTTAATGAGGTTACTTTTGCTATATGTTTTTTTCCAAGAGGATAAAGTTGTAGTTAAGATTCTTAAAGCCTTTTTATGAACTATAGTTTCATAGTTGGTGGGGTTGGAAGGGACCTGGGCAGATCGTCAAATCCAACCCCCTGCCATGGCAAGAAAGGAGTACCGGGGTCAAACGACCTCGGCAAGGTGTTCATCTAGCCTCTTCTTAAAGACCCCCAGGGTAGGAGCCAGCACCACCTCGCTTGGAAGTTGGTTCCAGATCCTAGCCACCCTGACAGCGAAGTAGCGCCTTCTGATATCTAGTCTGAATCTACTCTCTGCCAGCTTGTGACTGTTATTCCTGGTCACTCCTGGTAGTGCTCGGGGGAACAGGGACTCCTTCAGTGCCTGCTGGTCCCCTCTGACTAGTTTGTAAATGGCCACTAGATCCCTCAGCCTTCTTTTGTGGAGGCTGAACAGGTTCAGGTCCCTTAGCCTCTCCTCGTAGGGCCTGCCCTGCTGCCCCTGATCATGCAGGTGGCCCTCCTCTGGACCCTCTCGATGCTGTCCACATCCCTCCTGAAGTGCAGCGCCCAGAACTGGACGCAGTACTCCAGCTGTGGCCTGACCAGTGTTGCATAGAGGGGGAGGATCACCTCCTTGGCCCTGCTAGAGATGCACCTGTGGATGCAGGACAAGGTCCGGTTAGCCCTGCCAAC